TGACTTCTACAAAATCCTAGTAATAAGGGACTGAAAAAAAATCACGACCTGGAAAATTTTGAGTAGAAATTCCCTTGAGCATCAAGCCAGAGATGGTCACCCTGTAACTGCAACTCTGTAACCCTAGATCTGTCCTCTGGAGAGACACAGAAGAAATCTCCTCCCATGTTCCACGTCACCCCATAGGTATTTGAAGATATTTTGTCTGTCATTCTTCAAGTCATTAAAATGAACACTATTTGCTAAGAATAGAGAGGATCAGATGATTCCAGGATTATTCAGGATTATTCAGGTAGATAGCCTCCTAGTTCTAGATCTACCCTTAACTCATTGTGTGGCTCTAGATGCGTAACTTCTCCGCTCCAAGCTGGTTCGGTATTTTCGTCTTAAAATGGAGTGATTGAAGGGGAGGGGGAAAAGTGTGCCTCAGAACTTGGCAAGCTGTAAATGTGATTGTTAGAGTGGGGCAGGGCATGGATGTGACTGCTCTGGCCCATATTCTCTCACCATTGGTGCAAAAGTATTCAGGGCTTATTAGCCTATGGAATTCTCCCCAGGCCCAGATGCCAAAATGATGCAATACTGTTAGTATTCAGAATTATGATTTACACTCAAAAAAATTCTAAAAATGGCAGAAGACTTTCAGGATTCAGCTTTAGGAGAGGAAGAAATCTTGAGACAAGAGAGGTTTGCATGTAATTTTTAAGGTAGAGAATATAAACAGTCTGGTTGTGCAGAATTAATCCCTGGTGTTACAATTATGGAAAACGGATTGGGTAAGGGCTTGGGAAAATCTTGTAAGAGAAAGTTGGCAATGTCCATGCCTCGTGCACAGTGAGTTAGCTGAACTTTTAGGCTCCAGAGGAATTATTTACGAGCACAGAGGTGGAATTTCCTCTGGGGTGATGTAACTTAGATTGAAAGGGAGCCAAGAGTTCTGGCATGCCCTGTTACTGAACCAAACCTGACACATTTCAGGAAGAGAAAAGGTATACTTTTCCCTTTCCCTACTGTACCTCAGGAAAAAAAAGAAAGAAATTTTAGTTGCTTAAGCAATTCTGTTCTGTCAAATAGATCTAAACCACGCTAGGGCCAAAATGATCCCATGTGTTTTGACCACGGTTCCTGTGTTTTCTGAGGAACACATACTTTTCAAAGCATTTCTGGGTCATCCATAAAGTTCTAATATTTTTAAAGGTGTTGATGATCAAACATGAGTCCAGCCAATAATAGCCTCTCTCTACATGTGGCTTAAATAATGAATTCTACCATAGAAAATGGTATCTTTTCCCCCCTTCTTTTATTTATGGAAAGCCATCCTTGAGTAGCTATTTATAAAACCCCCTAGAGCAGACACAAATAATTTTGTTAGTGATCAGCCTTCATCAAATGGTACCCATTTTCATAATGAGAAAATATCCATGTGCCTAAAGTTAGCTAATTAATTATCTAATACAACCAAAATAAAGGATCTTCAGACAAGGAAGGTGCTGAGCAGCTAGAGTGAGCATGTCTGAGACCAAAATAATTTATCACTGTGTCCCCAGGGCTAGTAGTTACTCAGTAAATGTTTGTGGAATTGATTTGGATTCAGCCTTTTGAGAGACATGTAACTAGCAAAGCATTTTCTCTCTAAATTAACTATTTTCTAAAGCATGCTCCTCCCTCTCTCCCAAGTCCTTGAATGCATCCTATGAACCCCTTTTAGAGGACCATCACGAGTCTTAAAAAAGCATTCTACCACCTTGCTTTAAATAATATTGCACTAATATTTGTTATGGAGATAATGCCTTGGGAACAGACATTCTCACTTGAGTCCTATTAGGAATGCCTGGCTATGCCTTTATGAATAGTAAAAGATATATTGTATTGTAGAGACTGACAAAATCAGCAGTGAAACTTGAGCTACTAAACATTCTTCAATAAACAAACTTATGACAGGAGCAAAATAAATATATAGCAGGGATTTTCCCCCAAATTAGGAAGTTTTTTTCTGGAATAAACTTCCAAATCCAGCAGATCTCCTAATGGAACAGTGGGCACATCTGAGCAGGCCACTTGGGACTCCTCTGTGCAAATATTTTCCTGCACAACCAAGTTGCTTTGTGCCCACATGCAGCATGAAGTCAGGTGCAGAAAGAGCATTTAACGAGGGGGAGACCCCCAAAACCCAGAGTTTATTTATGGAAAATTGTGTATTTATTCTTGTGTTTAAACTTCAGTCACTTTCAAAGTACTCTCTGTTTGATGCAATACACCTATTGAGACGCTTTTTTCCACCCCTCAAAACAGTCTTTGAACTCGTCAATTTTGATACCTTTTAGTGCTTCTGCTATTTTTTGTTTCACCTCTTTCACATTGGCAAAACATTTCCCCTTGGGGACTTTTTTCATCTGGGAAGCAAAAAAAGTTGCTAGGGATGAGATTGGGTGAATAAGGAGGGTGGGGCATAGGGTCATGACATTTTTGGTCAAATACTGCTGAACAGTCAGCACAGTATAGGCAGGTGAGCTTGTAAATCACCCATGATGAAATAGGCAAACACATTGAAAGAATCTCCAAAAGAATTTTCACTGAACTGAACATAGCCTCTCACCACAACGTGGACACACTGATGCCGATGGGTTCCTAGAACACTTTGGTTGCGGGGGAAGCCTATATACAAGGACTTGCTCTCCAAAAGATAATTCCAGTTTTTTGGGGTCCCCCTCGTATTTTCTTAATGGGTGTTAGTTCCAGTCATGGAGTCAGACTAGAGCCATTCAGGAAACAGTCTTAATTTACCAGTACATATTATTCTAGAGGTTGGTTGAGAGAAAACCTTCTGTTATCAAGCTAGCTTTGGAGTTACTGAGAAACCTTTCTTTTCTGCTTTAAGTCGAGGGTAATTCCTCTGTCTGAGATGCCCTTTCCCTGTGGCCATCTGGGGCCCGCCCACCTTCTTTCAGGCTTCACTTCCTCTATGAAGGCTCTTGGGAAGCAGGTGGAGATGACCACACCCTTCTCTGAGCTCCCACTGAGTCCTGTGCTGACTGTTTTGAGAAGCTGAAGGCCAGAGAGGCCTAGTATAAGTTAGCTAAGCAGAGGTTAGGAAACATACTTAGAGCCTTAACATCTTAACTGAGAAACTGGAATTTAATTTTTTTATTGAATTATAATTCAACCAGTGTTGATCAAATACAACTATTGCACTGATCACTGCACTCAGAAGCCTCTCATGTGCCTCTCTGCCTCTATAGTCTGCTAGCAAGCAGAGCAAAAGTGGATTTGGTGCCAAGTGTGCTCTCAGACACAACTGTGATGTCTCCAAGGATAGGGAGCATTTATTTATTTATTTTTGAGTGGAGTCTCACTCTGTCGCCCAGACTGGAGTGCAGTGACTGCTCCCGGCCACTGCAGCCTTGACCTGCTGGGCTCCGGTGATCCTTCTGCCTCAGCCTTCCAAGTAGCTGGAACAACAGGCATGATCTACCATGCCCAGCTAAGGGAGCATTTATAACAGAGGTCAAGGTGCTGGATGGGGGTTCCTGGCCATTTCTCACCAAAATGCTTAGACCATGCAGGATGCGTGAAGTTTACACATTTCATTCCCGTGAGCCCATTTGATCCTGAGAAACAAATTGGCAATTCCTGCTTTACAGACAAATCAACAAAGGTTAAAAGAGCAGAACTACCCCTCCTGCCCTTGTTTTTTAGTGCAGGAAAATCATACAGACTAGAGGATATTAAACCATTGAAGCACAAAAGGGACCCCCCTCAATGTCCAGCCCCTGATTCAGGGAAGAAGCCTTGGCTAGGCTGATTAGCTAATCCTATATTTTAATTCCCTTTGAATATTTTAAGGGAAATATACCCACAAAACACTCTGCATACAAAGCTGCAAATCAAACCTCAAGGCAGATATGGGTTAACTTCTCCAGATTTGGTGACTGAATTATTTTTTCCTCAACAGGAAACAAGTCCATAATCTCCTGGCATTAAGCAAGTCTGTCATATAGTTGATCTAGTTAGCTGGAAATCTATCTTCAGGTTTCTTGAGAGACCTAATCAGTTGGATATCTTACACAGGACAGTGCCAGAAATCTTATGTAACAATTACAAATGATTCTTTTTAGGACTTGGAGTTATTACTTAGAGTATACTGACTGATATTTGACCAGGAAGCATTTAGTGATGTTGATAATAACTTTTGAGTAGAGTCTGCTTGCTCTTCATAGTGTCTTCTGGATAAAGGTAGTTCCCAGAACATAACAGGTGCTCAAGAAAACTGTGCTGAATATATGCTGTTATTGTATTTTTGATATGCATGTGAAACTCCTACTTGCTTATTTTGATACCTGTGTACATAGTCAAAGGAAAGGTAGTTTTTCTCATATGCTCTAGGTGACATAAATACCAATTCCTGAAGGCTGAGATGGAAGACTCGCCGAAGCCCAGCAGGTTGATGCTGGGGTGGCCATGAGTGTGTGTACCACTGCACTCCAGCCTGGGTGACAGAGTGAGACTCCACACCCCCCACAAAAAAACAAAACATAACAACAACAACAATAACAACAACAAACCCAATTCTTTTCTTGAGAACATTCATGAGAAATACCAACTCTCTTTTTGCTTTTTTAAAAGTCAAAACCTGAAAGTATGGAGAGACTGATAAAGAATTTTGCCTCTGAAGGGTTTACACTGTTTTCTAGAACTTTCTTTGAATCTTTTTCAAAGCTCCTGAAGTAAAGCAAATTTATGATCAAATTTTTTGAACAGAAACTGGGCCACTGGTGACAGATGTGTAGCAGGACGGCATGGAAACATTCTTCTTTAAATCCTGACTTGAGTGGATCACCCATCTATGTAGTGATTCACGTCTTAAAGTTTAGAAACTCACCAGTTCTCCAAGCAACCATAATAATGTATCAGGCCTCTTTAGTCTTTTCCTGATTAGTGTTCCCATCGGTAAGGCATATGAAGTATGAACTTTTGGGCCCTAAATTGCATTGCTAAATCACTGTCTCTGTGAAATGCCCCCTGCCCTTGGTCCCAAGAAAACCCTGGGTTATAATTACATACAAATGAAGAAAATTAGGAACTAGGTGGCAGAGAACCTTCACATAATGATATCTGCTTTGTCCCTATAGCAAGAAAGCTCCAAAGAAAGTTTTATCTTCTTTTGTGTAATCCACCAAGGAGATATCACTGACGTTCACCATCAGCTTGTCCCCTTCATGCAAGGAGAACATAGCCGCTAGGTAGATAGGCTGGAACCAGTTGCTACCTACTTCACACACTGACTTGGTTCCCATGAGGAGTTGAGTCGGCTCGGGGTAGCTGTCTGTTACCTTGGTGATGACCACAGTGATGGAGTCTGGCTTGTTCAGTCGGCTCCCTTGGCTGATTTCACCACAGTTGGAGGTGGCCCCTCGGAAAGTGACCTGGGAGTAAACAAAGTAGTCTCCCGACTCTGGGATCACCAAGAATTTATTGGTGTAGTTCATCCGGTTCTTGGTGAATGCCAGGCCCAGTTCATGTTCCCAGTGCAGAGCTGGGAACTGATTTTTTAAGTGCTGTGTGGAAGTTTGTTTCACAACTGCAAAGACAAGAGAGAGGTTTAATTTGTTGGAGGCTGTGGACTTCGCTAAAGAGTCTTTTATCACTTTGAAAGAAGAGTTAAGTGATTGAATATAACCAGCAGTTATTACTTTGCCCCTCTGAGCCTGAGCTGTCTGACTTGATAATTTTGAATTTTACCCAAGTCCTGCGATCCCGGAAAACAGTGAAAATAAAAAATTCCCCTGCTTTTTTTGTGTTCAGGAAAATGGTTTTTTGCAAATAATTATCCCAAATAACTTAGATAAACTCACGGATGCCCCCTTGTTTACCTATGACAAGGCACGACAGCACACCCTCCAAATTCCTATTCTTTGTCTCATAAATGATTAGTGGAATTGTTTTATCCCCTGATCAATTAAAACAAAATGCTTGCCTTGTAGGCAAGAGGTAAGTGATGGCAACTTGGCATCTCCCTCTTTCTAATCCTCACTCAGGACTCACCACAAATAATTTCCTCTTAGTCAAATGGTAATACCAATGTCTTGGGTCATAAGGATATCCCCCTGCTGACTGCAAATTTTCTTATGGGTCAGGAGAGTATGGGTTTTAACAAATACTCTAATCCAGCCTGGATTTTAACACATCTTTCTGCATTGTTTTACCCTTTCTTCTGGAGTCTCAGAGGTGTATGAACTCCAGGTATGAGGAATTTCCACACTTGACTTGGGAAGCTAGCCAACGGGTGACAGCATAACATTCCTCCCGGTTTCTGTACATCAGCAAAAATTCTTTGGCAGCACTTTTCTGATTTTAAATGTCCAGAGATATCATCTTGAATAGGGCACAGATGAACTGGATATATTTACAACTCAGGAGACCTTTCATCGGCTACCAGATCCAGAGTCTGAGGAAAGCCATTTTCGAATGACTAGGTGTGTGAATGAAAGAGAGGGATAGGAAAGAAAGGAAGAGGGCTGATAAAATCTGGAAAAATATGCCCAAGAGACAAGGACCTTTGGAACCCCCACAAGGAAGAAGATGTCTGAAACCCTATACTGAGAGAAAGAGTGTGGTTTCTAGTTACCATGGGACATGGTTTCTAGTTTTAAGTTACTAGAATGAATTTTGGTAAATGTGCTGAAAGAAATCTTGGAACCATGGTCCATGGTCTGTTGGAAAACACACCAGGGAGGCTTACCTGTCAGGTGTGCCCTTGGTTTATCTCCATCAATTCTGAGAGGTGTGTCTGAAACAAAAGAAGAAATGTGCTTTGAATGAGTCAAAGGGTGACTGAAGTGAAGACAGCATGTTGAGAGTTGCATGGTGCCTGTGACAGAGAGACACAATGATCTCTTCTAGTTTGGTCCAGTTCCCCTTCTTGTGAGTTTTGAATTTGATGGGAGTGCCTACATCAAGTACCAATGAGGACAGTGGAGACTCAGGAAAAAGAGTCTTCAATGCAAATGAATTTTGGTTCCATGACTTTGAGCACGTTTATCTTGTCTGAGACTCTGTTTACTCATCTCTTAGATGGGGACAGCAATCCCTACCACGGACAAAGACTGCTCAGCATGATTCTTGGCACATGATCAGAGTTAGGCAAAGCATAACTCACTGCTCCTTCCCTCAAGCTGCTTCCATGGGAGTTAATTGGCTTTTTGCCTGCTTTAAGATCCCTTTAACTTTATCTACTGAGGTGTATGAATGCTCGACAGAAACAGGATGGGGAATGGGTGACTATATGACTTTGGTGAGTCCTTCCTTTCTGGACCTCTGTTTCCTCATTAGTTCTCAAGAAGACCTTAGACTTTCCCATTGGTTCTCAGAGATGATCATACTGGATTGTGTTTCAATTGAAGTGATAAAAAATAATGTTGTTGATAATGATAAAATGCAAATACCTTGCATACTTCTGATGTGCTAGACATCATTCTAATCCCTTTATGGAAATTAATTGATTTGATTAAACTAACTTTGTTGGGTAGGTAGTATTATAGCCATTTTTTATAGGTGAGTGAATGGAGGCAGAGACAGGTGAAATTACTTGCCTGAAGGTCACACTGCTAGTAGATTCCAGAGCTGGGATTTCAGTTCAGGTCATTAGCTCCACAGGCCATGTACTTAGCCAAGGTGCCATTTTGCCTTCCTAGTGCCTGGAGTGGAGGCTCACTTTTCCTCTGGATTTGTAGCCCTCAGCTTAGCCACTTGGTAATTAAAGACCCATGTTTCAACTTCCTACATATAAGAACTACTAGAAACGTTCCTGTTGCCCACAAAAAAAGGCAACGAAGATGAACACACTTACAAGATCGCTGATGTGAAGGTCCAGACTCTTGTCCTTTTAGAGCCTGCTGGGAAAAAAAGGCATGGTTCAGGCCATATGTGGTTCTTCTGACCCCAACACCCACACAGCTGCCCACACCATGGGTATGATTAAGATGACGCTGCTCCCCAGCCTGGGTACTCTGTGATGAGGGAAATGGGAATGAGAATATTTTTGTTGATGGTAATCTTGCACCACAACTTTCAACTTTCTTCCTCTGGTACTTCCAGTGACCTTTCTATCTCTTATGCCTGCCTTAGAAGCTCAACTTTAAAGTTCTTTTTTTTGAGAACCTTTCCTATTCAATTTCCAGGGGACCCTAGCATCTTGTCATTGCTTTTATTAGTTGAATGAATAATGGCATCTGCTTTATTTTCTTTTCCTCACTACAATTTATAAATTCTTCTTAAAACACGATACAGATAAAAATAATGGATATGTCCTCTCATCAGCCTCAATAATTCTTCCTTGTTTCCATGCAACACATAAAGACTTAAAAAAATCATTGTAACTCTAGTTTGTGAGCTGTTTCAGATACCATGTGATAGTGGGAGAGTGACTGCCTTAGAGGCAGACTTGAATTTGAATCCTGGCTCCACCATTTATTAGTACATGAGCAAGAGATTTTTTTTTCTCTGAGCTTTGGTGTCCTCATTTGTAAGGTAGGAAATAACATACCTAGCCCTAAATTACTTGTAGGGCTGAGGTGAAGGTCAAATCAGAAAATGCATGAGTCAGTGCAAAGATTGCCTGGAGAATGAAGAAGTCACTACTCACTTCTCAACATAAAGCTTAAGAGCAAAACTATACTCTTAGCTTAGAAATAATATCACTATTGAACTCTTACACAATGTTGGTGGAATGCAAGCTAGTATAGCCACTATGGAAAACAGTATGGATATTTCTCAAAAAACGAAAATTAGAACTATCATACAAAGCAGCAGTTCCACCACTGTATACTTATCCAAAGAAAAATAAATGAGTTGATCAAAGGAACACTTGCACTCCATGTTTATTACAGCACTATTCACAGCAAGATAAGGAATAACTGAAGAGTTCAACAGGTGAATGGATAAAGAAAATATGGTACATATACACAATAGAATACTATTTAGCCATGGAAAATAATGAAATTGTGTCATTTGTAGCAACATGGTTGGAACTAGAAAGTGTTATGTTAAGTAAAATAAACCAAGCATGGAAAGACAAATTTCACATGTTCTGTCTTCAATGTGGGAGTTAAAAAAGTTAATCTCAATGAAAAGAGAGTGGAATGATAAATACCGGAGGCTGAGTGTGTGCATGGGAAGTGAGCATGAAGAGAGGTTTGTCAATGGGCACAAGCATAGATAGAAGAAATAAGTTCTAATGTTTGATAACAGAGTAGGGTGAATATAGTTAGCAACAATGTATCATACATTTCCTAGCTAGGCGAGAGAACTTGAGATGTTCCCAACACATACAGATGAAAAATACTCAAGATGATGGTTACCCCAAATGCCCTGATTTGATCATTGCACATTCTATGTATGTAACAAAATATTACATCTACCCCATAAATATGTAAAATATTATGTACCAATAAAAAATAAAAACATTTTATGATACTTTCAAAAAACCCTTCTCTGTTGAGATTTTGACTTAACCCAGTTTTCTGATTTGGTTCTTGCAACTACATAGTCCTCACTAACAGTGATCTTCCTGCTACTATAAACACTTGATCGATTTTGCCTCTTAAAATTCATGTGTGTGTGTGTTGTGAGTGTACAGCTGGGTTCCACACCTGTGCATTTGACCAATCGTGGATCAAAAATATTTGAAAAATTATAACACGACAATGAGAAGTAATGCAAATAAAATGGTACAGTATAACACTATTTACATAGCATTTATAATGCATTAGTTATTGTAAGTAATCTAAAGATAATTTAAAGAATACAGGAGGATGTGTGTAGGTCATATGCAAATACTACATTATTTTTTATAAGGAATTTGGTATCCACAAAGGTCATGGAGCCAATCTCTGTGGACACCCAGGAATGTCTTGTGAATGAGGAATTGTGTGTCTGTGTGAGAATGAGAAAGAGCAAATTGGTGTATTTTAGCATCTATACACTACATGTGTCTATAATAAGGTATCGTGTGCACGGTTGACTCTATCTGTCTCGTCATGTGGATGTCACTGTGTCATTGTTGACTCTGCGTCTGTGTTATCAGTGACTCTGCGTCACTGATAACAATCACTGTGTCATTGTTGACTCTGCGTCTTGTTAGAGCCTGGACCTCCTGGCTTTTTTCTATCCTAAGCCACACTACATTACTGCTACTGGAAACCCTCTTGAGGGCAGAGATCTTGTCTTTGAATGATTAGTTGACTTCATGTTCTCTCCAGCCCCTTTTCCTCCACTTCCTAACTCTGTTAATGGCACCGCTACTGCTTCCCCTTGGTTATCAAACCTGAAACTTGCTTCTTTCTTCTTCCACAAACCCAAGGGCTGTCATTTCTATTTTGTAGTTTTTCTCAGCATGCTCCTACTCTGGGCCTTGGCATACTGCTCTCCTGGATTCTTCCAAGAGCCTTCTAGCAGGTCTTTGTGCCTCTGTTTTCTCCCTTTCTCTCAACCATTTCCTAGCCTGCCTTCAGAGGACTTTTTCTAAAGCACTGATTTATCAAGACACAATTTGCTCATAAACCTTCAGTAGCTCCTCATGGTCTTCAAGACCTTGTACTATCAAAGTCCCAACTCTCCATCCCAGTCTTGTGACACATTTTTTACTTTTCTCTAAGCCCTTTGTGTATCCAGCCATAAGAGGCCACCACTGTGAGTGATTCAAGAGATCTGAAAAAACATAGCAAGCGCAGCTACTGTTTATGAACGAGTAGGGACACTGTGCTACACTAAACAAATTGCAGGCATTATCTCCTTCAGTTGCACAACAGTACTGTAAGGTGGATGCTACTCATATCTTCACACTAAAAATGGGGCTCAGGGAGAATAAATAACTCTCCCAATGTCCCATACTTGGAAAGTAGAGGAGTAGGTTTTTAACCCAGGCGTGCTGACTCCAGAATTCCAAGCCCTAAACCATGGTACCTCACAGCTTCTAGACAAGCTCCTCACTGGTTGAGGTGGATGAATATATACCAGCAGTTTCCTCCATGACAGTGGGTTAAGTCCAGAGATCAGCAGACAGAGACCTGGCCCAAAAGTGGAAGTGTCAGGATATTACAGGTTCTGTAGATATTAGCCAGGTGATAAAAAAGGTAATGGTCACTTCAGACAAGACCAAAAGCTTGTGCAAGAGTAAGGAGGCCTAGCAGAACATGGTGGCAATCAGAACACAAGGCTTTGTAGAGGAAAAGATGCCAAACTCTGTAAAATATTTTAAGATGACTTATTCTGAACCAATCTTGAGGACCTATACCTGGGAACACCTATCCTCAGAGGGTCCTGAGTACATGTGCCCACTGTGGTTGAATGGTGGCTTGATCATATACATTTTAGTTAGGCACAAAATCATAAATCAATATGTGGGAGATTTTCATTTTTTTGGACCAGGAAGGACGGAAATTTCCAAGTAGTGACTTACAGGTCATAGATAGATTTAGAGATTGCTTGACTGGTAATTTGTAGTTCATATCTAAGGAATTTTGGAAATTAGTAGAGGAGATACTGTGTTAAGAGAAGGGGGTGGAAAACTCCAGGTTTGTTGATATGTAGATGAAGTCCTCCATGTGTCACACTTTAGAGAGAATAGAGAAGTGGCTTACAGGGGTCTTGGAACCTTGAGAGTCCCCAAGAGATGGCTGTGTAGGGCCATAGAATAATTTAATTTCCTTCTTTATTTGTTATGTGATGTTATTCCAGAGTCAGACTGGAAAACAGACTTTATATTATATAGGATAATAGCATAATAAAGCTCTGTCTGGTGAGTCCTTACTAGGTGTGACTCCTCAAGCCTCTTAGTTAGGAATTTGGATAAGAGAAAAAAAGGTCAGGTTTAGTCCTCAGCTTTCTGCTGCCTTTTGAATACATGATGTACACTTAGCCTAGAGTCTTGAGGAAAATGGTCTTTGAGAACCAAAACTGGATGGCTGTGACCACTTGTCTACCATCAGTAACTTTGATGGGAGTGGAGAAGAAGCCCAGAAGTGAGCTTATTTTGTGGCCCATTGCCTTACTTGCTATTGATAAAGCTGATAACTTGGTTCTTTGGAAAGGCAGAAACTGAAGGTGGGGTTCTTAAAGAGAACTGGGGAGATACTGATTGCATCATCTTGTGGAGGAAGAGTGCTTGCCCTGGTTGGCCTTCTTTCTATTCATTTATTTCTATGCTGAGGAACCTTCTCGAACATTCCTCTTATCTTTGACTGAGCAGATACCCAGCTAAGAGCTTGGAGGCATTTTTCTCTGAATCAGAATTCTATTGTTATTAGCATGTATCTGGGATGTGGACACATTTCACTATTTACTCTGCTGGATTTCTATAACTTAGGCACACATTTTATTTTAATATATGGATAGTCATGTATGAATTTTACTGGTCCAGAATGCCACTAAACATCTGGACGCAGTAGCAGTGCCAGTTGGCAGATGTTAAAGACCACAACATTCCAAGAGTCCAAAAGAAGAACATCAGTTAGATTCTTTTTCCAAGAACAACATCTAAGTCTTCCAATACTGCTTCTCTTAGTAATGACTCTATTATGAGAAGAGTATTATTGTGATAGGAAGCAGAAAAGAATGAGAAGGAGATTTGAGAGGATGAAATAGTAGCTTATTTGGGGAAAATTTTATGAAGTTGTCCCTATGCCTGCTCTCAAGATGGTTGTTGGAGATATCAGGTCAACACAATGTCTTCAGTTTCATCCCTGACTCATCTCTACGACTTCTGGGTTATTCTGAGGCACCAAGGAGATGGTGGCTCCTAAGGGGTGCTGGTCACTGAACATTAGCCTCCAATTCTGAATAAACATGGGGCCCAAGAGTACCCTGAAGAGTGATTTATTTCCCCTTACGTGTC